CACTGACAGTTCCTTATTTTGGAGAACACGGGTGGCAGCAGGGGCAGCCTGAGTGCCTTACGGAGCAGTGTGGTTCACGCTACACAGACACAAAGCCTCTGAGTTTCAGTTCCCACTTCCCTTGTAGGTAACCAGAACTTGCATCCTCACCTGTTAGAGAGTCAGCAGCAATGGTGAATTCCTCAAGTGAGGAGAGAATGGATAGCTCAAATCCAGAAGCCTGTTCTTTGGTGGAAAATGATGTCTTTGATGAGTGAGGCTGCACATCTAATTTTACTTGAAACTGCCTAAAAAATGTATTATTATTATTTTTTTTTTTGCTATTAAACAAACCATAGAAAACCCGAGAGAGTCCTTTCAAACTTCAGAAATAGGATGTACAGAGGAGGAGGACTGTGAGAAGAGTTTGAATATGGACAAAACAGGGGGCAATTTTCATATTTTACTTAGGCCTATAATCTTCTCCAGTGGATTTCTTTAGAGTGGATATTTCTCTTTTGTTGTTTCCCACACTGCTTCAGATATTTTCAGACAGATTTTTTGGTTTTGGTTTTTTTAGCTATACTGAGCTGGTCCTTAATGTGGGAGCTGCCATCCCAGAATCTTTTTTCAATATATTTTGGATGAACTGCTGCTTGAGTTTCCCTGAGTGAGTGATTAAAGTGACGGCTCCCATTTGTTTTCTGCAAGCACAACAAACTATAATTCGTTCAAAGGAGATCTCAAAGGCAGGGAAGCCATTTGTCTGCTGACAACTTTTTCTCAGAACAACCTGTGATGCCTCTTCTAGCTGGGGCCGGACATCCATCCTGGCTCCCAACTGGTGTCCTTGAGGTGGGGCCTATGGGGCTGGACTTAAAGCATAGTTCTGTTGATTAGAAGCTGCCATCTGTCTCACTGGGCCTCTGGAGTCTGCCTGTAGTAGTGCTGTGTCACGGGAATAGTCCCAGACTGAGACACAGAACCTGGAACTTAGCCAGTGACAAGCCTTGCTAGCTTTTGAAGGTCCCTGTGTGGGCCTCGATGTCTTCCTCAGTTTAATGAGTGCACTGGATGCTATAATCTCTAGGTTTCACTCTGACACTAAGAATTCGTGATTTTGTCTTCTGATTCCTGGTCCAAGGGTTCCTTCTGTCCTGGAGATGGAGACATCATGGCCACTCTCATGGATCTTTTCTTCTTGGAAGCAGGGATGAATATAGAGAATAACAAAGAAAAAGTGAGATGACAGTGATCAGTGCTATGAAGCACATGGCTTGGGTAGGGCTGGTTCCTTGTAATGAGTGGTCAAGAATCAAGAAGCTGAATCTGCAGTCCCATCTGTCCAATGTGCAGCGGAAAGAAGTGAAGCCAGGGATGGAGTGGAGAGCCAGGAGGAATGAGCAGCCACATCAGAGGGACTAGGCCTGCAATCTTGAACAGGGTGAGGCACCCAGAGCTCCTGGTTCCTGGCACGGCATCCACCTAGCCCTCTAACCAGGGGAGCTTCCTACTCTGCCCTCGATATGAATAAATGAAGGAAGTCACCGGCAGCATTGATTCTCTGTCAATATTTCTCCCGCTCCTCCCTCATCACCAAGGCTCAGCTCAGATGCAATTTCTTTCTCTCTTTTTTTGCACAATGGCTTTACTGAAATATAATTCACCAACTATAAAAGTCATTTTTTTTCAAAGGACAACTTTATGGCTGGTGAACCACAATTCAGTGGTTTTTAGTACAGTCACAGAGTGATAGACAAAATTTCTCGTTTTTGTAGGTGGAAGAAGGAACAAATTATAAATTGTGTGAATTCGGATGTCTGGACTTTTCATTCTTTTATCTTAAAATATATTTATTTACCATGTTTGCTTTTTTTTTTTTCCTTCCTGCATCTGTTACTGCTATTGCTGTGCTCTGTTTTTCCTTCTCATAATTTGCAAGCCATACATGTAACTTTGGTTCACTAATTGATTGCTCTTAAGTTTTCGTCAAGAAGTTACATTCGGCCGGGTGCGGTGGCTCAAGCCTCTAATCCCAGCACTTTGGGAGGCCGAGGCGGGCAGATCACGAGGTCAGGAGATGGAGACCATCCTGGCTAATACGGTGAAACCCCGTCTCTACTAAAAAAAAAAAATACAAAAACTAGCCGGGCGAGGCGGCGGGCGCCTGTAGTCCCAGCTACTCGGGAGGCTGAGGCAGGAGAATGGCGTAAACCCGGGAGGCGGAGCTTGCAGTGAGCTGAGATCCGGCCACTGCACTCCAGCCTGGGCGACAGAGTGAGACTCCGTCTCAAAAAAAAAAAAAGAAGAAGTTACATTCATTTTTTTTGTTTGTTTCTCTACACTTAAACAGTACCTTTAACCTCTTCCCCACCAAAAAATATTAAGATATTCACATACAATTTCTCTCTTTTATTTCCCTCACTTCCACCTTGTGGAAACCAATGGGTGTTTTAATTTGGTATGATCATGAGCATTGTAGGTTTAAAATGTATTTCACTGCAGTTTGGCTGTAGAAAGTGAGACCAAAGACAGAGAACGGGGAGGAGGGATCGCATTCTATAAAGTCTTCCACACCATTTCCAAATCTTGATTTGACTCTGAGAAAGGTGAGAAGCCATTGGAGGATTGAGATAAGAAGAATGACATCTTCTAACTTACATTCTGAAAGATTACTTAGGTTGCTGAGTTGGGAATAGGGGAGATAGGAGTAAAAAATGATTTGCTGTAATAATCCCTTTAAGAGTTAATGTGGCTGAATCCCAGTTGTTGCAATGTAGGCAATGAAGAGGTGACCAACTGTATGTTTATTTTATGTAATTTTTCATAATTTTTAAATATAGAAATAATTTTACACACAACATTTACAGTGTTGTAAGAATGATATAAAGAGCTCCAATATAACCTTCACCCAGATTCCCCAATTGTAATCTTTTCCACATTGGCTTTTCCCTTTTTGTATATACATGTTGTAATTTTTTTGAATCTATTTGAGAATAAATTGAAAGCATGCTGCGTTTATCCATATGGTTTGCAGTGATATTGTATAAGAACAGGATATTCTCTTATACAACCACATACAATGGTCAAGATCAGGAAAATAACAGATGATGTTGGAACTTCTATTAATAGTTTCGTTCTAGGTGTTTTTTAGCTTTTCTTTTAAATCTTCCATCTCTTGACCTTTTTTGGTTCTATCTGCGGGAGTCTTCTCAACCTTCTTACAATCTCATTGATTGTGTGGTTTGGTGCATTTTAATTAAAATAACAACTCTGAGTCTTACTTCACACCATTCTCTCCTCTCTGAGCACATTTAAAGTTACTTTTTTCCACTTTGCCTTCTTAGCAAACCAACCCATCTGTTAGTTCTTTTGTCTGGGAAATTTGGTATCCATCTAATGTGGCATTAGCTCTCCTAAAATGTCCAGTGACTCATCCTTGCTTTCTTATTGTTGAATGTGGATGAAGGAACCTGAAGCACGTACTTTTCTCTTCCAAGCCCAGACTCTTCAATTTTTTTTAATTTGGGGGCAAGCTCTCCTAGGTGGGTGTCATCTTGCTCCAATCCTTATAATATTTTAACCTGAATAACCCTTCTCCAACCCTCCGTTCTGTTGCCAAAACAAACTTTCAAAACTGAAATATTAAGATGTCATTCAGTATTCTACAATTCCCTGCATCCCTCATAATTTTCAGAATAAAATGCAAAATCCTTAGAGTGGCAACATGCCGTATATATGGAAACCCTCATCTACAGATTCTCACTCATGTTCTCCTCATGTGTCAGATGTTCCAGGCACATCAAACTATTGGTAATTCCCAGAATGTGCATCCAAGCCTTTGCCCAGAATCTTCTCTTTCCCTGGAGTGCTTTATTTCCTCCTGTCTACATCTAGAACTTCAATACATCCTTTCAGATCCAGTAACTGCTACATATCTGTACCCAAGCATCTTTTACTTTATTTTGATGCCTTCATCCTCCAGTACCTCTTAAATAACTACTGCTCTTTCTGAATTCTTGCAGCATTTTTCATGTATCTGTAGGTGTTTCTGTAAATAATTGATGTGTCTCTTTCTCTCCTACCAAACAGAAGGAGATTTAAATGCGGGGATGTGTTTTATTCATTTCAGAATATTTGCTACCTACTGTACAATAGACACTTAGAGTGATATCATTTGTTTAATAAATGAAGTGAGAAATCCCAAAGTAGGTTATACTTGTTTGCCTGTTTTAAAACGGTACAGGGAGGGATTCTGGTGACTAAGGTCTACACACTAATGAGCATTTGGATTATTTAATGTCATTTTGCAGGGTTCTACAAATTGTGTAGGACTCTCATTTTGTAGGCTGGTCTCTGATGTTGGCTCTACCATAGGTTTCTTATGAAACAGCCACTAAAACCACTTCCGTATCTCACTTCTGACATTGATGTAGTCCTCAGGCCATGGACAATGACTGCTGAGAACCAAGCAAGGTTGTGGGCAAGGCTTTGGGAAGGGGGTTGGTAAGATACAAGGGAATAGCCACCAGCCAGGCCTCAGGCAGACCTGAGGAGCTCTCTTGTGTGTGGGATGAGATCAGATCAGAATCATAAGAGAATCATGCAGGCACGATGGGAGAATCCTGGTGCACCAGAATAGGGGAGAGGCTTGTTTAGAGCTACAAATACCAGCAAGACCTGGCCCGGTATGTCAGGTCAGCTAATATGTCAGTTTCCACAGCTCCCATAGACAATGGGATGCCAGGGAAAGTTTTTAAAAAGAGAAATGAAATCATTGATGACGCAATTTGGACTTCAGTCTAGTTGTTTCGCTGTACATTTGGGGCATAGAGAAAAAAGAAACAAGCTGGGGGTATGAAAGAGAACATTCCAAGAACGATAGGTAAGTCTGAGTCACAGGACGAGGCTGAAGGAAGGGGGTTAGAGAGGAGGTGTTCCTTGAAATAGAAGCTGAGGCCAGTTTGCAAAGGGCTTACATGTCATCGTAGGAACTGAGAATTTATTCTTTTCTCTAAAAGGAAACAAAGAGGATTTTAAGCAGAGACATGATAGAGGGCAGGGGAAAGTCAGAGTTTGAGGCCAGACTTCATGATGACCTTCCAAGATCAATTGCAGAGGTAAAGAGGGGATCCCCATGTGGGACAAGGAAGTTCACAGTCAGCCAGAGAGGCAGTCCTGCCCCCTGAGAGAGCTGGCTCTGGGTTTGCAGTTTATTTCTGGGATCCTGATGTCAGTTGTTGGTCTAGATCCAAATGTGGCCATATCCAAAAAATATTTAATCCAGTCAAGGCACTTGTTCACCATTATTTCACCCATTCAGTTAATAACTCATGACCGCTATTAAAAAACTATATGCTAGTTTTGAAAGAAATTCAAAGTTAAAAGCAAGTGCACAAATGAATAAAATAATTAAAATAGAGAAATTAATAAGACAACAAAGGAAGGACTGAGAGGCACCTGTAAAGCATTTTGAGAAAGCAGCTGAGAATGTCCTGGGGGCCTGAAGGGCTTGAAAGTCCGTGTTTACACCTCAAAGATGTGCAAGACTGTGTGAGTGGGGGTAATATTTTGGGAAGAGAAAGCACAGTGAAGACATATAGGTGAAATATCTAAGTAGCATCAACAAATAACTGTTGTTAATGTTATTTGAAAAAAAATTCCCTGGTTTCTTGTATTTGGAATGGATTGTCTCCGTGGAAGCAGAAACTACCTCTTTCTTACCTTCTTTCAGGTTTTCCTGGATCAGCTGCACTCCTTAGCAAAACTATATTGGACAATCAACTGAGAGAGTAACTGAGACATTTGAATCATTTCTAGGTGTAAAGAAAGACCGAAGCCCAGGAAAATATTACGGTCAGTTCAATGCCTTAAGTATAACACCAGCATCACTGGCTGGGACCCTCAGAGCCTACTCTCCTATTTTCCCTTCATCTTCTTCTCTTCTTTATTTTTCTTATTCCTTTTCTTTGTTTTCCCCACTTCTTTCTCTTTTCTCTGTTCCTCCCTCACTTTCTTGATCTCTCACCCTCTTTCTTTCATGAATTCATTGCATCATGACAGAAGTACTTGACACATACCACGTCCCAAATTCTGAGCTAGAGTACATGCTATATTTTTCTTCAAAATTAAGTGTGAGGTGGATCTTTAAATAATAACAACAAGTGTGTCTCAAACAGTCTATCCTGGACACTTTGTAAGCTTCCATTGTTTTCTCTTCAAAGTGCCTGTGTCCCAAAGCTCAGGACAAATTTCAAAACCTGAACCTGAATATCAAGAAATCTAAACATGTATCATCTAAAGCTGGCACCCAGGAAAACAGAGCTTTTCATTTGATCAGAGACTGCATATTTCTTACCTACAAGTGTTTGTTTTAACCACACTTGGCAGGTTCTGTATATAACACACATCAAAGCCATCAGTTGCACTTGTTGTGACTGTGGGTGCTGGCTTGCTTGTTCCAGGGTCCCAGGGCCCGGCCATGGCCATGGTGTTTGTCTCTCAGGCTTGTCTGTCTCATGCCTGGCAGGCTCACTGCTTCACAGCTCACTGTGTCTCTCAGACCTTCTCTTGGCTTCCCACAGTCTCGGGGACTGTTCTAAATAACAAGCTAATATTCTGAAGTGAGGCATTGGAAGCATTTCTGAGCAGCATTTATTCTTTTTGTATGCGTTCAATTTTTTAGCAATGAAGACATTTCCTTTCAAGGTTATTAAGCTTTGAACTTTCCATTTTGTGAAAAGGCTCAAAATTGCCTTCATTCTTTGTGGGCATCCAACTCTAACAGACACGTAAATTAATAGACTAGGGAATATTTAACAGTCTAAGTTCAAACAAATATATTTACTTTGATTGAATTGATGTTGCTATTAATTGCCATTGAAGGAAACCACTGTAAAAAGAAATATGCCCTGGAGGACAAATGTGACACTGCTAAAATTAAAACTCAAATGAGAATAATCTGCAGATTTTAATGTTTCAAATTCGATTTGGAGAATACAGTTCTTTAATGTAATACTGATAAAATCATGTTATTGATCCTGCATACCCATCTCTTCTCAGGGATTAGAGAACAGGCTGTTATGAATATGTAGCAATCCCCCATGCACCTGCATAGGTGGGGAGGTGATTGTCCAGCTCTGCTGGTTGGAATATATATATTGCAACAATTAAAGAAACAAGTTCTCTGAAAAATTAAAAAAATTTATCAAAATAAATCCATCATCCTAGAATATATATGAAAAAACTGTTGCCAGTGGAGTGCATGCCAATCTCGCTCCTGCAGCTCTCCCCGGTTCCCCATTCTCATGCCTCAGCCTCCCGAGTAACTGGGACTACAGGCGCCCGCCACCACATCGGCTAATTTTTTTTTTTTTTTTTTTTGTATTTTTAGTAGAGACAGGGTTTCACCAAATTAGCCAGGATGGTCTCGATCTCCTGACCTCGGGATCCACCCGCCTCGGTCTCCCAAAGTGCAGAGATTACAGGTGCAGAGGAATACTTCTTACACAAATATATAATATTTTTGTCCCACTAGGAAAAACTTGTGCCCCAATCCCTTTCTGGCCTTTCTTACTATCTGTGAATCTTGAAAGAGTTTATTGCTTCATGGTCTTCCTCCATTTGGCCCCATCCTAGTTCTTGCTCGGTTTTTAGATGCTGGGGAGCCATCTTGGGAGTGGGGTGCTCATTACATGAGATGAAGTGGTCTTCGGGGGGACAATAAGGGAGTAAGTGCCTTGTAGAAAGAAGCAAAGTAAAGAGGAAGAGAGGTTTATTGTTTGTTTGCTTTTTATTATTTATTTATTTTATTTTTATTTTTATTATACTTTAAGTTCTAGGGTACATGTGCACAACGTGCAGGAAGAACTTTCTAACTTCTTTTCTTTCTCTCTCTCTGTCTCTCTCTCTCTTTTTTTTTTTTTAAGATGGTGTCTCACTCTGTCACCCAGGTCGGAGGGCAGTGGCGTGATCTCGGCTTACTGCAACTTCTTTCTCTTTTTGTTATTAGGTTGTTGCAAAACAGCAATTACTTTTGCAACAACCTATTACCTAGGCTAGAGTCAGAGCCCCGCACCTTGAGAGTGATGAGTTGCGAGAGTCTGCCCCCAGCAGGCAGATTGAGAGAGCGCATGGTTTAGCGGAATGATTATTTTAGCTATAGTCCATGGGACAGAATGGAGATGTTGCAATCTGATGCAGATCATCTGAAAGTCTTGTGCAATATCCTGATTAAGTGTGGACAGAGCACAATAAAAAAGGAATTTGGAAGTTGGAAACATGCTGGGTTCAGGCAGACATAAAAGGCAGCATCTGGAAAACCTATCAGGACTCAATTTCAGGACAAGTGATCATAGGTAAGTGGGATCATGGAACTTGACCTCAAGGTTACAATATAGGAACAATAAATAGGTTATGAAGATAGTGAGCAGGTAAACAGCACCACCAAGGAATCTCAGTAATAGATTTGTAACAAAGGAGCAGAGCAGAACTCTTTATGAGAGCTAGATGGTCATAAGGAGAGGGTTGGCACAGCAGTGGTTCATGCAGAATCTCCTGAGATGCAGATAAACCTTTTCTGATTGGGAGAAGGTTAATCCAAAACTTGAGGTAGAGATGTAGTCACAGGAAAGTAGCAAGAGTATATGGGGGAGCTGCGACATGAAGAGGCATTTCCTAGAAGGGAAAATCAGGCTTTAAAGTCAGGCAGATGAGTTTGCCTGGGAAACAATCAAGAGAGCTGAGTCTGAGGCAGGGAGCTGGTGGGGAGTGAGCCAAAGTGTGTCAGGTAAGGCAGAGAACCAAAACCAGATATCAGGTGGCAAGTCAAGAACAAGTAACGTAGAGTACGTGGATGGATCTGGGCAGGGCTGGGAAGACATACACTTGGCTCTATGTGCTTGGCTAGCTGAATGTTTTGCAGCTATATCTACAGGTGCTTTTATTATCATGCACCTGGCAAGGAATTTTAATATAAACAGCTTGGGTCCTAGGTTTTGGGACGGGAAGAAGCCTCTGCTCCTGGGAATAACTGTGATGTTACCATAACACATGGTGACTTGTCCCAGCAAATGGAGCAGGGACATGGATGAGGAAAGCCACAGAAAAGTATTGTGGCCAGGCGCAGTGGCTCACGCTTGTAACCCCAGCACTTTGGGAGGCCAAGGAGGGTGGATGACCTGTCAGGAGTTCAAGACGAGCCTGGCCAAAATGGTGAAACTCTGTCTCTACTAAAAATACAAAAAATTAGCCAGGCATGGTGGCAGGCACCTATAATCCCAGCTACTCGGGAGGATGAGGCAGGAGAATCACTTGAACCTGGGAGGCGGAGGTTGCAGTGAGACGAGATCCCACCACTGCACTCCAGTCTGGTGACAGAGTGAGACTCCGTCTCAAAAAAAAAAAGAAAAAGAAAAAAAAGAAAAAAAGAAAAGTATTGCTAGGATTAGCATCCCTGATAGTTACCATTCCAGTTATTGCCAACTTGATAGACCCCTCAGAAAAACAGAAGTTTGCAGGAATTTTGCAGCCACAAGATGATGTTTAAAATATTCCTAGAAGATGTTTTCCACTTCACACGTTGGATATTTATCTCATACATTAATCAATATTGGTCAAGTATGGTGGCTCATGCCTGTAATCCCAACATTTTGGGAGGTCAAGGCAAGTGGATTTCTTGAGCCTACGAATTTGAGACCAGCCTGGGCAACGTGGTGAAACCTTGTCTCTACAAAAAATACAAAAATTAGGCCAGGTGTGGTGGTCCACATCTATAGTCCTAGCTACTGGGAAGGCTGAGGTGGGAGGATCACTTGCGAACAGGAGATCGAGGCTGCAGTGAACCATGATGATGCCACTGCACTCCAGCCTGGGCAACAGAGCGAGACTGTCCCAACTAATTAATTACTCAATTAATCAATATTAATTATGTTGTATATTGTTTTAATTTGGCATAAATTATCTAGTTTGTCTCATAATGGCTATATGAGGTAGGTAGGGCTTATCCACATTTTAGGTGAGAGAAATAAGCCTCAGAGAGGTTAAGTAGTTTGTTCACAGTAACACTGCAAACAGTAGCAGAAGCAAGAATTGAAGTAATGCACTGTTCTGTTAGCTACATGTTATGAATATTTAATTATTCTTCTACTTCATATTTAGAGACTATATTCTATGTGTTGGCTATTGCTATGGATCTAAGAGTGGAAAATAATAAAAACATGCACAGTCCTTGTCCTTGTGGAGCTTAGGAGCTTATAATCTAGGGGGAAGAGGGAAGATACCAGCAACCAGCACCTATTTACCCAAGTGATTATTTAATCACCCTTGTAGAGGTGGTTCTTTTCAGAAGAGGAGAAAAGAGAAAGTCAGGTAGATCTCATGTAGTGTAGGAGTTCTCTGACTTATCTTCTGAAAGAGGCCAAGTAGATCTTATCTAGTATGGGAGTCAGAGAAAACTTTCCTAAAGAATTGATAATGGAGTTAAGACCTGAAGGATTAGTAGATGGGTGGGGAGGGGAGAGAAGAAGTGTTGGTGCTAAGTCAAGAAAGAGCTTGAGGCATTCAGTGAAGGTAAGGTGTTATGGAGTGTGGGTGCTGAAAGCAGGTATTAGATGATGCACTTTAAAATGTACAAATAACAGTACTATAACGTATTTACATCAGAATATAAATTTATAAAAGGGAACTAATCTTTATATGTTGGGGAGGAAGTTACCTTTCTCTTGTTAATTCCATTAATTTCAAGACTATAAGAATTTATTGCACCACTGAAACATTAAAAATTGCATTAGCTTCTGCATCTTCATAGGATGGAAGGTTGATCAACTGGTTAGTGCTCCCGCCAGGAATAATCCAAG